CCCCCTCTTTCGAGACCATGGAATCCCTCAAACTGTAGCCAGATTGTAAAAGAACATCTTTTCCCCTTTTTCTGCCAGTATACACACATATGCAGGCCTTTAAAAAGTGGATCATACCACATATATTGTTCTGCATTTTACTCGTATCACTTGACTTTCTTGCCTGCCTGTAAGACTGACCTACTTCATTGTTAAGAGACCACATAATATTCCATTATTAAGCATATACCATAATTTGCTTAGCCATTTTCCTGCTGATGTCATTTGGGTTTTTCCTCATATTTTGCTGTTACTAATTATGCAATAGCTGCATGAAGATCCATGTGGGCGTGTATTCTTCCAAGCTTGTGCAGATGTTTCCAGAGTGGAATCAAAAGGTCAAGGATACGTACATTTAACATTTTTGTAGGTATTGCAAAAACACTCCTCGTTTAAATGATGGATCGCTGTACTCCCCCACCAATGGTTTGTTAAAGCATCTCTTCCCCTGGACTCTAACACCAAACATTATCAGTCTTTTTACTATTTTACTATTTTTTTATTAAAATTTTAAAAACGATTGACATTTTTACTATTTTTGATAGGCAAAAAAGTGTATTATTTCAGTTTGCATTTCTCCAATTACTAATGAACTCAAACACCTTTTTGCCCTTTTGTTAGTACTTTGTATTTCTTCTGTGAATTGTCTAATAAATTTTTAATGATTAGTTTGGAAGATGCAATGTAATCCCCCATTATTTCTCTCTCTACCTATTCTTCCTCCTCTGCCCCATTACAAAAGGTATGTAATATTTTATGTCAATTCTTGATTATTCGAAAAGACGGAGGGGGCCAGGCACAGTGGCTCACGCCTGTAATCCTAGCACTTTGGGAGTCCGAGGCGGATGGATCACCTGAGGACCAGCCTGACCAACATGGAGAAACCCCATGTCTACTAAAAATACAAAAAATAGCGAGGCATGGTGGCATGCACCTGTAATCCCAGCTACTCGGGAGGCTGAGGCAGGAGAATCGCTTGAACCCAGGAGGCGGAGGTTGCAGTGAGCCGAGATCACACCACTGCACTCCAGCCTGGGTGACAAGCGCGAGACTGTCAAAAAAAAAAAAAAAAAAAAAAAGGATGGAGGGAAATAAAATGCATAATTCAAAATCACAATGCAAATCATAATTCAAAATCACGGTGTAATTTATAGCAGAATTTTAAGTGTGTTTTTAGAAATAGCACAGATCTGAGATTCACATCTTTGTTCTACCTCTAAATAGCTGGGTGACTAGGGATTTTCCTTTCCTTACAGAGCCCTGGTTTTCATAACCATAGAATGGGAATGATAACTTACTTTGCCTGATGGTGATAATTAGATAATGTGTGTAAACCACCTGGTGTGGAGCCTGGCACACAGTGAAGCACTCACTCAATACGTGGTTGTTACTGTTACCATGTTATAACATTTGAATACTGGAGTTGTTCTAAACTAGGAATCCTCATTGTGAGTTTCTTGCCCCCATATCCTTACTCTTATCTCAGTTACTCTTGAAAACAGGCTGCCTTGGCTTACATCCCCTTCCCTCTGCCTCTCCGATTGAGTACGCTTTTGTCCACTTCAAGGTTAAGGGTTTGAATTTCAAGTCGGCAAACCCAGTACGTAGAAGAGATGAAGGTAGCCCCAAACCGCGATTGAGCACTGAACGCACTGTGCGTTAACAGTGGATGCTGGAGACGTGAGCAAGCCCAATACTAGAGATGCTGTCTCAATTTCCTCCCAGGTTTATTGTCAGATAAAGCCTGTCATTAATCCACCACCAAGAAGTGACCATGGTACCTGCTGAAATACTTTCTGCTACAAGTAACAGATCCCAAAGGCACTAAAAAAAGGAGGAAAGTTTACTCACTTGGATCACAAAAAGTCGGGTGGTAGGGCAGGTCCAAAGTGGGCTCATTGAGCAGCTCAGCGGCATCCCCAGAACCCAGATCTTCACATCCGTCAAGTGTGCCTGCAGCTTGCTGCCTGTCGGCATTGCTGCCCTCAGGTTGCAGAGAGGCTGCTACGGAAACCAGCATCTAGAGACAGAGACAAGGTATTTCTCCTTATGTGCCTCTTTTATTTTATTATGTTATTTTTGAGACAAGGTCTCACTCTGTCACCCAGGCTGGAGTACAGTGATGTAATCATAGCTCACTGCAGCCTTGGACACCAGACTCAAGCGACCCTCCCACCTCAGCCTCCCGAGTAGCTGAGACCATAGGCATGTGCCACCACCTCTGGCTGGTTTATTTTGTAGAAACGGGGTCTCACTATGTTGTCCAGGCTGTTCTTGAACTCCTGGGATCAAGTGATCCTCCTGCCTCAGCCTCCCAAAGTGCTGGGATTACAGGCATAAGCCACCATGCCCCCACCTCACGTGTCTCTTTTAAAGAGTGAAGAAACATAGCTGGGTGCAGTGGCTCACGCCTGTAATCCCAGCACTTTGGGAGGCCGAGGCAGGCAGATCATAAGGTCAAGAGATCGAGATCATCCTGGCCAACATGGTAAAACCCCGTCTCTACTAAAAATACAAAAATTAGCTGGTCGTGGTGACCCACGCCTGTAGTCCCAGCTACTGGGGAGGCTGAGGCAGGAGAATCACTTGAACCAAGGAGGCGAAGGCGGTAGTGAGTTGCCTGGTGACAGAGCAAGACACAGTCTCAAAAACAAAATAAATAGATAAAAAATAAAGAGTGAAGAAACATTTTTTTACAAGACTCCTAAGAGATTTCTCCTATCACAGGATTGGCCCAAACTGAACCAGCACATGGTCCAAGCTGGAAAAAAATTAGTGGCAAGACAGTGAAATTACTATCAGCCATTTAGATTACTCTGGGGTCAGGAGTCCTTTGGAACACAAGGCTGCCCAACACCTGAACGAAAACTGTTAGCAAGGAAGGGAGAAGGTTGCACAGATGATCCTGTCTGTCACCACCACGTTTTTTTAAGGATTTATAACGTTATTTTTAAGATCCAATTTTCAATTAATATGCAAATTCTTCAATTAATTGTATAAAAATATCAGCTTTGAAGTTTATGATCTGGAAATTCAATATTAGAAAGGGAGGGCTGACCAGATGCATTGGCTCACACCTATAATCCCACCATTTTGGGAGGCTGAGATGCGAAGATTGCTTGAACTCAAGACTTACGGACCAGCCCCAGCCACATGGTGAGACCCCCATCTCTACAAAACTTTTAAAATAAGCTGGGCATGGTGGCATGCACCTGTAGTCCTAGCTATGCAGGAGGCTGAGGCAGGAGGATTGCTTGAGCCCAGGAGTTCAAGGCTGCAGTGAGCTACAGTCACACCACTGTACTCCAGCCTGGGCAGCAGGGTGAGATTCTGTCTCAAAAAAGAAAGAAAGAAAGTAGAGGAGAAGCAGTAATAGTTCCTGTCATTGTTAAATCTAGGAGTATTACTTATGATTAAATAATCTAGATTTAGAAAGAATAAACTTGGAAGAATGAGCATTCACGTTTAATTCCCAAGTACGTGGTGTGGAGTGAGTTTTGTGTGGCGCGCTCCAAGATCTTAGGAGGGACAGCTCCAGGACAGGTGACAGCCACGTGGGGCAGAGTGGTAGGGCCAAGATGGCACTCCCAGGGTTGTGTCTGTGGCAGAGACCTGCCATCCAGGCCATCCTGTGAGCCTCCTACCAAACCCTCATAATATAAAGATGGGGGTGGGGCACATGGGGCAGTGTAATTCCAAAGAGGAAGTTCATTCTAAGACATCCTTTAAAGATGCCCGGCTCCCTGTAACTGGGAGAGTCAAGCTAAGCACATGCTTCCTGCTCGCTTCTCCATCCTTGCCCTCCAGGGCTGGCTCGTGTTGAGGGGGACAGATTTCAAATGTGCACCATCCACAATGGAGGTGGGGGTAAGGTGGGAAAAACACCTAATGCCAAGGCCCAGCCTGGGGAGAGTGGGAGTGAATTCCTATTACGGAGCTTGGGCAAGTCACCTGCCTTCCCCATCCCTGGTTCCTCATCTGTAACATGGGAAGAGCAGTAGATCAAAGTTGTTGTGAGGACCACGAGCACTAATAATCTCTTCACTTCGGTGAGCAAAGGAGAAAATGGGCCAGGGCAGGATAACGCTCACCAAATTGCTTTGGGGAAAGTGCTGTTCTGCTGGCTCATGAAAACAAAGCAGAAGCTTCCCTGGAAGTTTCAGGCCCACCTGTCCCCTCTCCTCTCCACAGGCCTTGCACCCACAGAAAAGGGGTCTCCGTATTGGGAGCCAGCCGAGATGAGCTTGTCCCAGTTTCTTTGCTTCCTCTCTAAGAAAGATCAGAGCAAAACCACCCCTGTCATCTAAGCTGAATCTCCCCAAGTTACTGTCAGCCTCAGGGTCACTGACTGACTTTGCAGTACAGCCTGGCTCTGTCTTTTCCTGGCTGTGTAACTTTGGGCGAGTGCTTCTACCTCTCTCAGCCTCGCTTCTCGATCATCGGCAAAATAAATACAGTAGCACAGGATTGCTGTAGTACCAGTTACTATGATTGGTTTATTGAAGGATTCGGACTTAGCAGTTATTTTGTTAATCTAATTTGCATAATAGCATACATTTTTATATTATTTTATTTTAAACTGGACAGCATTAATTGGATAGTATACATGTTTACTATAATAAAGCTCTATTTATTTAGAAAATAATTCAGTCCCTCACTCTTCAAACTGGCCACATGCCCTGTTAAATAGTGAGGTTTCTGTTATACTGTTAGCCAGTGGGGTACACAGTTAGGCGCTATCCCTCACCTCTCTACCCACTGTCCTGCCTGCTGCAGTCAGGGCACGTGGCTAATGTGGCTAACAAGCAACAAGCAATGCTTCAACATCTCCCAGTCACTCGCCCCGGGATCCAGCATCCTGAGAGTCACTTCTGGATTACTGGGAGGCAAGGAGAGTAGTTGTAGCATGTGTTACCTGCTCGAAGCCACCTCACTGAACTTGCCCCTATCTTTTTTGGCAGGCTGTAAAGCAGTTCTTGAAACAAGAGTGCAAATGCCATGGGGTGAGCGGCTCGTGTACTCTCAGGACATGCTGGCTGGCCATGGCCGACTTCAGGAAAACGGGCGATTATCTCTGGAGGAAGTACAATGGGGCCATCCAGGTAGTCATGAACCAGGATGGCACAGGTTTCACTGTGGCTAACGAGAGGTTTAAGAAGCCAACAAAAAATGACCTCGTGTATTTTGAGAATTCTCCAGACTACTGTATCAGGGACCGAGAGGCAGGTAAGCTCAAAAGACTTTCTTCATAGCACCTAATTCTTTCAACAATTGATAATCCACAATTAAATGAGGTTCTGTATTTTCAGCCTGCTCTCTTTGGGTTCGAAGCTCACAATCCTCACCATTCTTACTGAAACTGCACAGGGCCGGGCGCAGTGGCTCACGCCTGTAATCCCGGCACTTTGGGAGGCCGAGGTGGGCAGACTGCTTGAGCTCAGGAGTCCGAGAAAAGCCTGGGCAACGTGGTGAAACCCTGAATCTACCAAAAATGCAAAAAATTAGCTGGGCATGATGGTGCGCATCTGTGGTCCCAGCTACTCAGGAGGCTGAGGTGGGAGGATCGCTTGAGCCCAGGAGACAGAAGTTGCAGTGAGCCGAGATCACACCACTGCGCTCTAGCCTGGGTGACAGAGTGAACTCCATCTCAAAAAAAGAAAAAAGAAAAGAAAAGAAACTGCACAGAGAGCTCTCCTATGCAACTGGAGAAATGGGTTGACAGTACACAGATTCTGGAGAAATTGAAACTGCACAATGTCTGGGGCAAAAAGTCAAGATACGCAGATTAGCAAAATTCTTCAGCTTGGGCAGATTTCTAGTTAGTGGACGATGTACACTAGGGAGAGCAGCCCAGCATCTTTCATGTGATCCTGAAGCTGAGAGCAGGATACATTAAATCCCACCTCTGTGACTACGGAAAATGGTCCCAGGGCTTTAAATTTAGACTCTTCTGAAATCTGCCCTACTTCCCCTTCCCTGCTCTTTTCAATATGCTTAGAAATCGCCAAAGATAAAAAGCAAGAATTTATCCCCACTCTCTTGGCTATAGGTGGGCAGTGTATAATAAAGGCTGTGTCAGAGGCCCTTCATTTATGAAAGCCACACCATTCCCTTCCAGACGGTACCTTCTCCATCCCTCAAAGAACAGCTCTGTCAGCCTCCACACCGCAGCCGTCCCACCTATCTGGTTTACACATGCTCATGCTCCACCTCTCACTCCTCCTGATCAATTCTGAGCTCCAGGTTTAGCTCATTCTTTGTAAAGATTCTAGTCCAAAATAAGAATGAGTACAAATCTAAGTTCATAGGAGGTGATGGGAGTCCACAGCCCAAGTCAATTTCTAAGACTTGGTAGAAAGCAAAGGAATTCATTATCAGAAAAAAAAAAAAAAAATCCTCTAACTTAGAGTCTGAGTTTGTTTTTTTTTTTTTTATTTCAAAATAATTGCAGAGGCACCAATAAAATGGTGTAGATGGCAGCCAGCTGTCAGTTAGATTGACCAAGAGGCAAGGTTACCAGGGAATGTCACAAGGAGGCCAAAGCCTTTTTTTCCCTGAGTGGTTGAATTGCCTTCATGGCTTGATGAGCTAGTTCTCTGCAGCATTTGAGCAGGTTGCTACACGCAGCCCAGGGATTAATGACAACTGAGCAGAGGACCAGATGCTGTTCCCCACTGCATTCCTGACACACTTTGGGACCTCTAACAAGTCATCCTACCTGTCAGGCCAAAGTTATGGTGAAATCACCATGAAACCTATGCTTGGATACAGGATTGTCCCAGGGGTCTGACCCCCCTCTACCGGTCACTAGCTGTTTAACCTCAGCCTCCTCACACTGAGCATGGAGATGCTGCTGTCTTGATCATTTAAGTCCTATGCATTGACTCCTGTGCACTGGGTACTGAGCTGAGATTCTTGCACACATGGTCTTATTGTATCCTTACAGTAGGATCCTTACAGCAGTCCTATGACAACAAGGCATTGAAACTTGTTACTAACCAAAAAAAAAAAAGAAAGAAAAATGAATAAGAGGTGGCTCCTGGATGATGAACACCAACCAAGAACCACATTCACATCTTACTTTTTAAGTCAGATAAGCAACCCTAGATATCATCTTCTTCACTGTACAGATAAGAAAAGTGAATGACCCGCTCACGATCTCACTGGTAGGAGAGGGTGGATGTCTGATCCCTTGGCCTGTGCTTTGACCCTGTCATTACACACTTACCCCTGCCTGCCTCCAAGGACACATATGTGAAAAGGCCTTGGGGAGCAAAAACCTTATTTCAAATATAAGAGGACCCTCTTCCCCAGCATGTCTTTTCTGGTTCTTTGGATTGAAGCAGTTTGCACAGGGAAGCCAGCTGGTGTACCTGAGGAATATGTACTGCCTTAGGTATAACAGGTATGACATTTATTGTCAACGAAATATAAACCATATTTTTTTTTTAACCACACAGAGGTGATTCTGAATCTAATCCCTGCTGCCTCTTCAAGTTACTAAGTTATTCTTGTGTACTCTGCTTTTTCAACTCTTTCTATTAGAAAGAAATTCTGTTTCTTAATCCTGAAATAGCAGATATATCTATAGTACCCATCACATGCCAGGGCTGCAACTGCATTCTCTCGTTGATTCTCACAGAAAGTCTATAAGGTGAGTGTGTTATTATCTCATTTTATGGGAGGAAACTGAAGCTCTGAGAGGGTAAAGATTTTCCCCAACCACTTGTGGTTGGTAAGAGGCAGAGCAGGGACTTAAACCTGAGCCTGGCTGTCTTTTCTTTTCTTTTCTTTTCTTTTCTTTTCTTTTCTTTTCTTTCCTTTCTTTCTTTACTTATTTTTATTTTTTATTTTTTATTTTTTTGAGACAGAGTCTCACTCTATTGGCCAGGCTGGAATGCAGTGGCACGACCTTGGCTCACTGCAACCTCCACCTCCTGTGCTCAAGCAATTCTCCTGCCTCAGCCTCCCGAGTAGCTGGGATTACAAGTGTGTGCCACCACGCTCGGCTAATTTGTGTATTTTTAGTAGAGATGGGGTTTCACCATGTTGGCCAGGCTGGTCTTGAACTCCTGACCTCAGGTAATCCACCCACCTCAGCCTCCCAAAGTGCTGGGATTACAGGCGTGAACCACCGCGCCCAGCCCTGGCTGTCTTTTCTTTCTTTTTTTCTTTACTTTTTTTTTTTTTGACAGAGTCTTGCTCTGTCACCACAGCTGGAGTGCAGTGGCACGATCTTGGCTCACTGCAATCTCTACCTCCCATGCTCAAGCAATTCTCCTGACTCAGCCTCCTGAGTAGCTGGGATTATGAGCATGCGCCACCACACCTGGCTAATTTTGTATTTTTAGTAGAGATGGGTTTTGTCTGTGTTGGTCAGGCTGGCCTCGAACTCCCAACCTCAGGTGATCCAGCCTCCTCGGCCTCCCAAAGTGCTGGGATTATAGGCATGAGCCACTGCACCCGGCCAGCTAACTATTTCTTAGGAGCAATCAAAGACATTGACACTTTTTAAAATCCAAGGGGCTTGTAATTGAAAAGGGCTTCAAGGCAACCTAACCGAAATGTGGGTGAAGCTTGATTCTGATTACTTTTGACCTCCCCTCTTTGTGGGCACCTCACCCCATAAAGTTCCCGCATCCTCATGCTGCCTCTTCATCACACAGGACCTACTCCCAGCCACACTCATACACACGCACACACTGGGACGTAAGTGGCACAGTGAGAAAGGTATGGGTTGTTGTTTTTATTTTATTTTTTCTCACTTGCAGGCCATGCCATCTTGGGCAAGTTAAGTAATTTTTTGGAACGTCACTTTCCTTCTCTATAAATGGAGGTAATTGCCTTGAAGAGTCAGAGAATATACACATAAAGTGTGTAGCGCAGGGCCTGACTTGCAGCAGGAACTCAACAAATGTTCCCGCATCCTTCTCCAGCTAGGTCTGTCCCCATCCAGGAATAACCTGGGGTCTCCACTCTGCAATTTTTCTCATCAAAGTTCACTAGCCTGTTAGCATTGTTTCAGGACTTCTCTAGAGGCTGACTTGGTAACTGCTGTCAGTGAAAGCTTTGATGGCTGAAATGATTTTATTTGCAGTCAAAGAGGGTCCCTGAGGATGCTGGCCTAAAAGTGAAAGAATGACTCTCTCATACTGGGCAAGCCATGGTGGGAGATGTTTTTTGGGAGATGTTTATTTAGAGTTATCTAGTTTTCCTTAGCAAGAAATCAGGTACTCAAAAAAAAAAAAAAAAAAGGTGTGTCTCCCTGAATTTCTTCTTGCCTAATAATTAGAGAAAATTAGGAATCACAAGCTAACTAAATCACTGATTTTTCAAACTTTGAGGTGTTTAAGTTGGAAAAGCGGCGCCAGTGGACTCAGCCACTTGGGAGGCTGAGGTGGGAGGATCACTTGAGCTCAGGAGTCGGAGCCTGCAGTGAGCCACGATGGTGCCACTGCAGTCTGGGCAACAGAGCAATAAAAAAAAAATTAAAATGATGAGAAACAGAAAAACGTATACAATTTCAGGAACAGCTCCCTGAGATGCTGGTTCAATAGGTTGCTGAAGAGCCACTTCCTTTGGAAAAAAGTAGACCACACCTGTGGACTGCATCAGTTGCACAAACCTAACTGATAAAACAAGCCAGTTCATGTCAGTCAACAAGCTGCCTTGCACAGGATGCAGTTGCTGACTAGCAGGAGTAAAGCCAGTCAGTTCCAAATACTGATTCCCTAATGATGTTCAACCTTCTCACCACCATTGCTTCCCCAGTGCCAGCAAGTAGAAGGTGCCCACTAAGTTGAAAACTATTAAGTGTGCGTGATTTTAAAACAAAAGCAATGATGGAAAGCAAAGAAAGAAGCAAAACCAAACAAAATAACCACAACAAAGCAGAGTGAGTGGTATGAGATGCAATGCCAGGAAGGGTTAATGCCGATTTTAAAAGAGAAAATGAAAAACAAGAAATTCTGTATTAATTACTTGATTTAAATTTGACTACAAACTTTGGACTTGTTTTGGAGCCTGGCTATCCCAGGATGCTAGCCCATTTTGAACATGCCAGAGTTCTGTTTACCAGGAAACAGGCCTTTCCTAATGCAACAGGATTTTAGCACGGTGGGGTTGGGGTCCTCGGTGGTGTGCTTACTCAATAATGTGTGCATGCTGGTGGCTCTTCAGTGCAGACTGAGAAGATGATACCCAACACCCTCATTTTGAGAAGAGAG